TATATATATGTATATGTATATGTATATGTATATGTATGTATGAGTATTAGATGTGTAAATACATAAATTAATTGGTGGGTAAATATGCAAATTTTTCCTTGAGCATCAACATGACGTAGAAGTCAATTCTTGCTTGATTTAAGTCTTATTTTTATTTTGCGAGCCCATTTTTCTCTGGTGGCATCAGCTCAATTAAATGGGCTCGCAAAATAAAGAAATGAAATTCAGTTAAAAATAAGTGAATCTAATTTATAATGATGAAATTTCATTACAATCTTTAAAGTTAGACTTGAACGTCATGGAGCATTCGTATGTAGGGCTATCAAAACGGCTCGTTAAGAAGTTCGTGTTCGATTTGAGCTCGTGATAAGTTGGGGCCGAGCACGAGCTTTCTTTAGGTTTGGTTCATTTAGATTTGATTTTGTTGTAGACATAATGTTCAAGGAGTATTTGTTCATCTTAATGAAATTACACTTAATAAAATTAATTTTGATGATGGTTTTGATGCAATGTTATAAATTTGGATATTATGCAATACATATGAAGGTTTTGGTGTTATACGTTTAAATATATAATAATTTGTCGTGTTTATGTAAATTCCCTTATTATTAAATCCAATCAAAATATATTTTTTTATTATTTTGTTCTTCGATTGACATTACTCGTGATTAGAAAAAAAATATTGCGTCTGTTGTCCGGACGCGATAGAGTTTATCGCTCGACTTGTAGAATTTGTTGGTTGATCTGAAAATAATTTAATTTAATATGTATATAATTTTGATTTTTTTAAAAAATAGTATTTTTTTGAGAAGTGAGATAAAAAAAATCCCATTTATTTAATAGCTGAAGTGATCTAGCACAACACTACAAGCAATACATCAACTTGAAAGGTAAACATATAATTTGACGGTAGGGCTGATTATGTAAACTAAATAATTTATGACATTCTTTCGATATGCGAACCTTTATGTGACCGACAGTTCTCATATCTAAAATAAAATATTAGATAGAGTTTATATTATCTAGTTCTTAATTTCCTATAAGGTCAAGCCTGTATAATTAATTACATCTTTAATGACCTAAGTTACTAAAAAATTCTCGATGATGATGAGAGGTTTCATCTTAAAGAATTCAAAGTTGAGTTTTCAATGTTGAGCACGAAAAGTGAAGTGGGAATAGGCGAAATGGGACGAGTTATTTGTGGAATCCAAATGAGCGAGAGATAGTGGATGTTACAGATCCTGAGTAGAACCTCGATGACTTCTCAAATTATCATATTATTTTGCTTTACATTTTAGAATTGATATTATTTAAAGTTTACTCATTTTAATTATTATTTAGGGCTTACATTTGCACTATACCCAATCATGCAAATGGCCTTAGAATGTGAGTATTTATGTCATACCGAATGACAACCTCGGAACCTAACGAGAGTTAGGACTTATACTACAGAACAAAATTGAGTAAGAGTCTAAAAATAGAGTGAGGATGTACGTCGTACTAAATGAATAACCTCGAATTCCTAAGAGTTTATATTATTTAAAACTAAGAAAAGTTTTGTTGAAGTTCATCCTTTGCTACGTGTTTTATCTTCATCGTCGTCTGAAGTTGCCCTTCATACGTTTGCATCCTCATTTCGCTTCCCAGAAAGCTTACTTCGAGCTCCTTACCATGATGATTATGGGTTTATGATTTATGTTTAATCATATAGCCAATGTTGAGTTTTAGGGCTTATCGCAAGATAATTTCAAAACAGATGTCCTATTATTCTCTACCCTAAGGGCTTTGCAAGTATAATAAATTGTGATGATTCTGGGTTTAGGATTTATGTTTAATCATATAGCCAATATTGAGTTTTAGGGCTTATCGCAAGGTAATTTCAAAACAGATGTCCTATTGTTCTCTACCCTAAGGGCTTTGCAAGTATAATAAATTTTAATAATTTGTGGTGTTTATGTAAATTCCCCTATTATTAAATGCAACCAAAATATGTTTTTTTTTTGTTATTTTGTTCTTCGATTGACATTACTCGTGATTAGAAAAAAAATATTGCGTCTGTTGTCCGGACGCGATAGAGTTTATCGCTCGACTTGTAGAATTTGTTGGTTGATCTGAAAATAATTTAATTTAATATGTATATAATTTTGATTTTTTTAAAAAATAGTATTTTTTTGAGAAGTGAGATAAAAAAAATCCCATTTATTTAATAGCTGAAGTGATCTAGCACAACACTACAAGCAATACATCAACTTGAAAGGTAAACATATAATTTGACGGTAGGGCTGATTATGTAAACTAAATAATTTATGACATTCTTTCGATATGCGAACCTTTATGTGACCGACAGTTCTCATATCTAAAATAAAATATTAGATAGAGTTTATATTATCTGGTTCTTAATTTCCTATAAGGTCAAGCCTGTATAATTAATTACATCTTTAATGACCTAAGTTACTAAAAAATTCTCGATGATGATGAGAGGTTTCATCTTAAAGAATTCAAAGTTGAGTTTTCAATGTTGAGCACGAAAAGTGAAGTGGGAATAGGCGAAATGGGACGAGTTATTTGTGGAATCCAAATGAGCGAGAGATAGTGGATGTTACAGATCCTGAGTAGAACCTCGATGACTTCTCAAATTATCATATTATTTTGCTTTACATTTTAGAATTGATATTATTTAAAGTTTACTCATTTTAATTATTATTTAGGGCTTACATTTGCACTATACCCAATCATGCAAATGGCCTTAGAATGTGAGTATTTATGTCATACCGAATGACAACCTCGGAACCTAACGAGAGTTAGGACTTATACTACAGAACAAAATTGAGTAAGAGTCTAAAAATAGAGTGAGGATGTACGTCGTACTAAATGAATAACCTCGAATTCCTAAGAGTTTATATTATTTAAAACTAAGAAAAGTTTTGTTGAAGTTCATCCTTTGCTACGTGTTTTATCTTCATCGTCGTCTGAAGTTGCCCTTCATACGTTTGCATCCTCATTTCGCTTCCCAGAAAGCTTACTTCGAGCTCCTTACCGTGATGATTCTGGGTTTAGGATTTATGTTTAATCATATAGCCAATATTGAGTTTTAGGGCTTATCGCAAGGTAATTTCAAAACAGATGTCCTATTGTTCTCTACCCTAAGGGCTTTGCAAGTATAATAAATTATGCATAGATAAAAACACAATAAAGGCAGTAAAAGTAAAGTAAACATGTGTACTTATTGCTCTTGCCACTGCTGCAGAAAGGGTTAATATTATAAATGTAGCATACTAATATGCAAGAAATTAAATGAATCATGAGGTAAACACGAGTAGTTAGAACAAGTTAGATGACACGTATAAAAGATCGGGGCTAGGTGTAAGAATTCCAGTAAAGGAAGAGGACTCAGAATCAGAACTAGTGGCTCTCACAATTCTCAAGGGACATCCGTAGGCAACTGTCAGCATCATATATGTGAGATCAACATAGGGTAAATGACTACCAACCAGACAAACACATAAGCATAACTCCCAACCTGGTCTATGTGACCGACCAATGAACTTTCAAAAGGAAGCATTCAAAAAGGTCTTAATTTGTCATGCATTCAAAGTCTTGATTTATCATGCATTCAAATAACTTGAATTTTTCATTCAGCAGGCAAAACATAAATTTTATCAGAAAAATATATTACATTATATATTTCATGCATCGGATAGTTCGCGAGTCAGTCACATCGTTAGGCTAGAGCTACCAGCACTCTGTGATAGCGAGGGGTAATTCCTTACTAAATGTTAGAGGGCATTGAAGCCAATCCCTGACCCTTTTGTAGTCCTCGGGTTAGGATTGTGCAAAACTTCACGTATACCTAGATGTCTTTTTCATCACCGTACTTGCCACCAAAACCTCCAACTTACACTCGTTTGAGGATCCATATGCGGCCATTTTAAATATCCCTAATTGTCAAAAGTATTTGGGCATAAAGTTAAATCTCACATCCAGATCATTGG